TAGTCTGATACGGGCCTAAGGCTGGTGTTACATTTGTCGTAGAACAATTTTTCAAGCGTGTTGATTGGCTGCTGAATAGAAAATTTCTAGACACTCGAGAATTTTACTATCCCGCAGCCAATCAGCGCACTTAAAAAATTTGTCGCGCGACAAATGTGATATTAGCCTAAGGCTGGTATTACATTTGTCGTAGAACAATTTTTCAAGCGTGTTGATTGGCTGCTGAATAGAAAATTTTTAGATACTCGAGAATTTTACTATCCTGCAGCCAATCAGCGCACTTAAAAAATTTGTCGCGCGACAAATGCGATATTAGCCTAAGGCTGGTATTACATTTGTCGTAGAACAATTTTTCAAGTGTGTTGATTGGCTGCTGAATAGAAAATTTCTAGATACACGAGAATTTTATTATCCCGCAGCCAATCAACGCACTTAAAAAATTTGTCGCACGATTTCTCAAACGTGTTGATTGGTTGCAGAATGGGAAAGTTGTCGAGTAGAGATTTTCTATTCTGCAGCCCACCAACATGCAGGAAACATTTGTCGTACAATAAATGTAATATTGGGCTAATGTGTAAAATATGTAACAGGTTGTTTTTTTTGCACGTAGAAATACTCGGAAAGGTCGTTGCGTCCCGGGAAGAAGTATTCTTTGAAGATGGCCTGAATGGAACTGACCGAGAGAAACGTTTGGACCATTTGCGTTTCAATAAAGACACGAAAACACCTGGGCGTGGCTTCGAGCTTTCTTTTTACTCCAATATTTCTCGTGTATCTTTATTGAACGATTTGTTTAACGGACTCCTGTCCGGATTTGAGATAAGTCGCGTTTAAGAGAATTTTTATACAGGAAAAGCGACATTTTTCTTTACGCTTTTATCAGAAGTGACTCACCAGATGCTTATTTCGGACAATTTATCTTTCGCGCTCGTGCAGAGTCCTCGAGTACTTTTCCACGATTAGGACTTATGTATGTGTATGAGGCATAACGTTATATAACGTTAATATTCTCACAGCGTGTTTGAATAGCGCATGTTCACGTTAGTTTGTCTACTGCACAGCATGTACATTAGTTTGTCTTCGCCCGTTCTGTCGCATATCGTCGCCTATATGCTCAGGCATAATATTGCTCGATGTAATCCATTTCCATTTACACTGCAACCTACCGCTGAATATCGTCTCCATTGATTAATTTGAGTAATGCCTTGATTAACCGGATCTAGTTAACGATTTATCTTGCATTTCTGCGCATCACAATCTGAATTGTAAGGCACGGGGTGCTAAAACACAGAACCTCGTTAGCGCAATAAGGATACATCATCGTCATAAAGATGCAAATAGGCTACGAATACAACTACTGAATAATTAATGTAAATGACTGATCGAATAATAAGTGAGTAGATACATATTCAATTGGAAATTATGTATATTCCGAACGTCAAAAGTACCGTACGACCAAGAGAAGTCGCTTTCCCTGTGCGGAGAGAATTTCCTCTTACAATTTATCCTGATAATTGTGTAATCGTGGCATTTTCAACAACTTTATGGGAATTTTTTGAAATTTTACCATACAATTTCGAAAAACTTTAAAGACTTTAAGAAAAAGCTAAATGAAGATGAAAATATTTTGTATGTTGGACCCTTAAGAGAATCACGAGAGAAAGAAAAACAACCTCCAATCGTGTCTCTTTGCACCGAGAGAATTTTCTCTTAAAATTTACTCTGAAAAGCGTGTAATCGTGGGACGACTTTATTAGAGTTTTTTGAAATTGTGTCATACAATTCACTAGTAAAATGTATAATAAAATCTCAAGAAACTCTCATACAATTCTTCAAAATGCCATGTTTCACGATTACACACTTTCTAGAGTACATTTTAAGAGAAAATTCCCTCCGTGTAGAAAGATACGATTGGAGGTTGTTTTTCTTTCTCTCGTGATTCTCTTACGTGTCCACCATGCAAAATATTTGCATCTCCACTTAGCTTTCTCTTAAAGTCTGTATAAAATTGACCAAAGACCAAGACCTATTCGCATTCTTAAAGCTTTAAAGTCGTCAAAATTCTTCTTTTACCTATGAAGTTGAATCACTGACGCCATAAAGTCTTGAATGTGAAAGTATTACTTCAATTCTCGACCACACGATGGCCATCCTGTTCAAGAAATACAGCCATCGGATATCTCGTATAAATATCGCTAATCAAGGCAGACGCGAGCGGCCTCGATGAAGCAATCGAACGCCGCTCGTCAATGGGACATGTTCATTCAAGGAATCGACCGCCGCGAGCGGATCGTAAAGGAATCGCTCGCTCCTCTGGCTCTCTGCCGCGAAAGGGAGACCTTCGAGGAATTTATCAGCGGATTATTTCACAGCGATCCCCGCGGGCTAGAGGGTGCCTCTTCCGTCGATTTCGCCGAGAGAGGACCCGGTCCGCCTGCGTGCAGGGCTTATAGAGCGAGTTTTCTGCCGCTCGATTGGTCGGCGCCGTCGAATTGGCGGCCGGAGGAAAAAAGAGGAGGAAAAAGAAAGGCAGACGGAAGATCGGCGGAAGAGGGAAAGGGAGGAGGGCGGCGAGGTGGGACGGAATGAATGGAGAGAGGAGAGCGACGTCTGTTGCCGTCACGCGAACTCCTGTTGGACCGCAATGTGGAGAGGCCTCGTTGGCTCGTCCGACTTGACAGCCCGAAATCTGGTATATCGGACACGATAAATATAGGTCCCGGGGAATTAAGTCAGAGCCGCGGATCACTCCGCGGCGAGCGTGAATCCGGTTGATTTAAAGTATCCGTTGTGTGGTTTTTTTCCCTCCCTGCGAGCCGCGCAGTTTCGGAGCGGCCTCCTTTTTATTTAGCGGCGACTCTAGCGCGGAGTGATAAACCGTTCCTTCAGCACCTTCGGCCACGAGCTCGTGTGTGTATTTTTAGAAATAATATCTCCGAGACACCGGGAGATTGCTAGAATCAAGCGACGTCGGCTAATTATTATGTATCTGCTCGTCAATTATGTTGGCACGGTCAATTTTGTGTACGAGCATTATTTTTCACTCCGAACGCGTTCTTCTTTGAGACCCAGTCGTTATGGAAAAATACACGCGATGGGAAACGGTAAGGGATAGTATTAAATATCTATGGCTAAAGTGATTATATTGATA